ATGACAGCTCCTAAATGTTCAAAACCATTTTTGGAAACTTCTCGTGGTGAAAGGTTTTGCAGTCCGGCAGCTGGCTGACCATATCCTCTCCTCCCCGTTCCTCCCACCTCAGCTCTCTCCACCTGGCTCTCCTGGGTCTACATCTGTGGCCCTGCTTTTTTTTTTTTTTTTAAGATTTTTATTTATTTATTTGACACAGAGAGAGAAATCACAAGTAGGCAGAGAGGCAGGCAGAGAAAGAGGGGAAACAGGCTCCCTGCTGAGCAGAGAGCCCGATGTGGAGCTCGATCCCAGGACCCTGAGATCATGACCTGGGCCGAAGACAGAGGCTTTAACTCACTGAGCCACCCAGGTGCCCCCCCCACACTTTTTTTTTAATGTGACCCCCAATCCCAGCTGTCAGCTGGATGGGTCCACCCAAGTTTCAACCAGCAAAGCAACGGCATTTCAACTCCCTCCCTGTGCCTCTGCCAATTTCCATCTCCATCCTTCTTGCCACCTGGACTGAAAGCATTAGTCTGGGAATAGTCAGAGCTCCTCGTTTCCATGACAGGAACCTAGCCTCCCTATGCTGTCCTCAGGGCCCTTCTGGCCCATCATACCTCCCATGCTGGCTGGGAGCCCCCGTGTCCCGAGTTCACAGGTGTTCTTCAGCCTCTGGGCCCTCAGCTGGGCTGCTCTGCTCCTCCACTTTACAAACCCAGTTCCTCCTGACTCTTACAGCCTGTATCAAATGCCACCTCCTCCAGGACGCCCCCTTGATTCCTTCCTGGAGATAGTGGTGATGTGTGACAGCTAATGTGTATTAGGACAGGCCAGCACCTAGCACATTACATGTATTACCTCATTTCATGCCTGGAACAACTTCAGGTGGGAATTATAGTTTGTGTCATTCCCATTTTATAGCTAAGAACAATGAGTCTGAGAAAGTTTGGCCAGCTTGTCCAGGGTCCTATACCCCAACCCAAGCAGAGTTCTGCCGGACTCCCAGAGTTCATAATTTTACACACATCTCCCTCCCCTGAATCACCCTGGGCATGCTGTCTGTTTAAACATTCTTCCTGTACTTATAGCTAATTAGGTAAGCTGGTTGTTCAAGAGCACAGTTTTGTTCTTTACTTTTATTTCTAGCAAATAATATACGTTAACAATTGACCACATTAAATACTGTGGTATATTCCCTGAACTTCAGGGAAACCCAGCAGTCTTCAGCCCCATCCCTCCCTAGTCCTGATTCCTGCCTTCCTGTGGTCCCGGGTCCATTCTGTCTTTGTACCTGGCCCCCAGGGGGCGATCAAGGGTAACCACTACATGTCAGGCGTGGTGCTTAGTGAAGTTGTAGCAGCCGTCCTGAATGATCCCTCCCCTCTCTAGTCCCTGAATACTGCTCTCACCGGCCCTGTGCACCACCTTCTTGGGCCACAGCCAGGCCCCACCCAGGTACTGACATTCGAGGGAACCCAGAAGCACTTGGCATCCACTCTGTCCTGATGCCCATGTCCAGGTGTATAAAGCAGCTAGCATCAGGTTGGGCTGCATTTAGCAGAGACCCAACATAACAGTGGCTTAACCAAGACAGAGGTATGTCTCTCTCACACGCACAGCACAAGTCCAGGGATGGGCAGTCTGAGGGCAGTAGGTCACCTCAGCTCCGCAAAGTCCTCAGGGACCTGACCGCTAGGTCCCCACCGCACTGCTTATAAGGTGAGGCTCTCCTCCTTGTGATTCAAGATGGCTCCAGAACGGGGGCCACCACATCTGCAATCCAGGCATGGGATGGAGGGAGGGATGAAAGAGGAAGAGGCAAAGGCACGCACCCCCAGGGCTGCCGTGCTGGTAACTGAATTGGCCAGGCTTTAGTCGCAGAGCCAAACCTAGTCAGGGGAAGCTGAGAAGGGTAGTATTTGTTCTGGATGGCACGTCACCATCTAAACTTGGATATCACTTGGGAAGAAGGAAAGGAGAGATATTGGAGACAACTAGCAGCCTCTACTAAAAGGGTTTGGGGTGTTGATGTGTTTGCGTGTGTGCCTATGTTGGGTGTGACGTACGTGAACATGTGTTGGTGGGGCATGTTCCCTCCCCCACGTTGACCTCTGATGGACTTGTTATGGGCTCTCTACGGAACTCCCCTACATCTGGCCTCCTTCTCTTGGGCAGATTCAGCAACAGCCTCTCAATTCCACCTCTCAAGGAACTACAACGTTCGCTGAAGCGTGTTATCAGTGCTGATAGAGGGGCTTGTAAAACTGTTTTCCCATTCAGGTGCTACAGGGTGGCCATTATGGGACAGCGACTGTGACCAGCCTTAATCTGGTAATAAATTCTCTTGGGAAGGAGGGTGTCATTACACTAGAATCCTAGAAAAGGGTACCGTTCAATCTTGTGCTGCCCAGAAATGCCAGGCACCCTGTGGAGATGGCCGGGGGAAGGCAGTGGGCCAAATGCTAGATTCGGGGTTGGCGGCAGGCAGTGTTACCCCAGTGTTTCAAGACTTGCCTAGTGATCACACAATGCCGGAACGGCTGACCTCTCCCCCAAACCCCACCCTTGGGCACCTACATGCCCTGTACTCAGGGGCTTGACAGGTTCATCTCATTTATCCTTTTAGCCAGGTGCTGTTATTGGTTCCGTTTTACTCACAGGAAAGGATGCTGTAAGGAAGTTAAGTATTTGCCCAGGGACTCCCTGATACCTTGGGATCTAACCACTGTACTTTCCGCCTTTGCTAGGCTTTCGTGGAGCCATACTGGGGATTAGCGCTATTTAACTCCATTCCACAAACATTTGGTGGAAATGTTTACTCACGCAATCAGTAGTTAATAGAGGGAGCTTTGATTTTTTTTAAGATTTTATTTATTTACTTATTTGACAGATCACAAGTAGGCAGAGAGGCAGGCAGAGAGAGAGAGAGAGAGGAGGAAGCAGGCTCCCCGCTGAGCAGAGAGCCCGAAGCGGGGCTTGATCCCAGGACCCTGGGATCATGACCTGAGCCAAAGGCAGAGGCTTTAACCCACAGAGCCACCCAGGCGCCCCGAGCTTTGAGTTTTTAAGAGAGAAAGCGAGCACAGAAACCCTCAAAGCATAGCCCCTCCTGCATTACTTGGGATTTTTCATATTCAAAGCCGGTATGGGGGTTCAGTCTCCTAGCTTACTGCTAGAGCTGGGTATTTCTTTCTAAGGACCATGGTTCCAGGAGGTACCTTGGTTGAGCATTGGGGTGGTTTGTAATTTGGAGCTCTCCTCGAAGGCTGGGGAAACTATGGGGTGGCACCCCAGCTATGGAGAAGGCACCCCAGCCTGACTCCGCCACTCACTTGTTTGGCTTTGAGCAAGTTAACGCATCCTCCTGACCCTCGTTTTCCCCCTTCTATAAAATTCAGATTAAAAGGATACCTTTGGGGGAAAAAAGCATACCTTGATCAAGCATGATACAGATTACTTATTTCTATTATATTGCCAGAATATGAATCATACTAATATTGCCACCTGCGGATAGAAAGTGTATTATCTGTTTTTTTCAAGACCTAGACGAGGCAGAACATAAAAAGCAGAGATTAACTTTTTTGCCTTCTCCAGAACCTTCCTGCTAACACTTACTTACATTTGATTATCATTTCAGGTTCATGCACACAACCTTAGCACGGATCACAGACTCTCATACCTTTAACTTTATTACCTTTTGTCTTACGTATCTCATTAAAACTTTGCTGCTTACTCAAGGATCTGCATATCATTAATATGAGAATTCATTGTTCCATGACTTTGAAAGTGTCAGTCATTCTGGATGAACATGTTATATAATCTCTCCTGCCTCCATGCCTTTATTTTATTTTATTTTGTCTTATTTTAAGATTTTATTTATTTGTTTGTCAGAGAGAGGGAGTACAGGCAGGGGGAGCAGCAGGCAGAAGGAGAAGCAGGCTCCCTGCTGAGCAAGGAGCCCGATAGGAGACTCGATCCCAGGACCCTGAGATTGTGACCTGAGCTGAAGGCAGACACTTAACCGACTGAGCCACCCTGGCATCCCTGTCTCCATGCCTTTAAACCAGGTGTTTTCTGGACACTGGTGGCAACCACTTTCCATCCTTACTAACCCCCACTGGGCCTTTAATACCCAGCTCAGGTGACACCTCTCGCAGGGAGCCCCATTTGTACTCCTGTGATCTCTTGCACTCATCCTTCTCATGAATTTATTCTCTCTCTATTGGAATGGCCTGCTGACCTGTTTATCTCTCCTACTAATGCATAAGCAACCTGAGGGTAGAGAACATCTGTTGTTCACGACTGTATCCTTGTGCCCGGCTCTGTGTCTGACGCATTAGCAGACCTTCCAGCAGCGCTGGTTGCGTTCAGGCTCCCGGTGGGAGAGAAAGGACGTAATTAAAAGCCAGTGACAAATGCCCTCACAGAGGCATAAGCAGGCCGCCGTGGGAGAGTAACGGAGAGGACAAGAACCATCACCTCTAGTAATGAAGATAATAATAGAGCACATTTCACAACACCTTTAAAGCTCTTGCACACGATTGTCTAGTTTGAGCCTCATAAAAGCCTAGAGATAGGCTTTTGCAGGAGTTATTGCAGGAGATGCAGGTGGAGTTTTTAGTGGTTATGTGATATGCTTAGAGTCAGGCAACTATTAAATGGCTGGATTCAGACCAGACCTTAAAAGCCTGTTCTCTTTCTCGTGGCGTGCGATAAAGTCCTATCACCACCACATCGCCCATTGGCTCCTGTCCTGGCTTCATGTTCCATGGTCCATCTCATACCACTTCATAGATAATTGCTCAGGCCTTGCCTCCCCGAGGAAATGCATTTCATTAATGTAATTCTAGATAATGAATTGCCTTTGGCACTGAGGGGATGATTGCCACGGCAGAAAGCAAGTCTCATTTTTATCCACATCTGATAATGTGGTTGGTAATGGGGCATCTGGGTGTGTTCTGAGATACCAGCGACTTGCCATGTGTGGTTCCTTCGTTTTCAGGCCCGAGAAGCACATCCTGGGAAGGAAGATGCGTTGCGGACCCCTGTGCCGATTCCTGTGGCTTTGGCCCTATCTGTCCTATGTTGAAGCTGTGCCCATCCGAAAAGTCCAGGATGATACCAAAACCCTCATCAAGACGATTGTCACCAGGATCAGTGACATTTCACACACGGTAGGGAGGAAAGACAAAACAGAACGGTGACTAGCCCTGGAGAAACCAGGACCTCATATGCTAGCGGAGGCCTATGCAGCCCCATGTAGGGACAGTGGTCTTGACCCCTCCCCACTTCAAGGACAGCTGCCTTTCCTCTTCCTCTTCCCTCCACCTCTCACCTCCGCCCACTCCTTCCTCTCTGCTGGGAATCCTAGTGCCTAGGACCATAGGGAGCCATAAAGGTCCTCTTGTCCCACTGGCAGGAGACCAAATTCTCAGTTGCATCCCCTCTGGGCCTCAGAATGTGCTAGAATGTGCTTATCATTGGGCATTCTTCTTTTTTTTTTTTTTTAAGGATGTTATTTATTTATTTGAGAGAGAGAGCAGAGCTAGAGAGAGAGCATGAGTGGGAGGCAGAAGGGCAGAGAGAGAAACAGGCTCCCCACTGGGCAGGGAGCCCGATGCTGGGCTTGATCCCAGGGCTCTGGAATCCTGACCTAAGCCAAAGGCAGACACTTAATCAACTGAGTGACCCAGGTGCCCCACATTGGGCAGTCTTGCTAGCTGAATTCTGGCCCTAGGAAGCTTCTCCCAGTTACTGCGAGTCCTGGGGTCCACAGGCCTAGACCTTCAGCCATTTCCCAGACGAGGATTGTGTTTGGAATTAGAAAGACCGAATGAGAATCTTCACACTTCTGTTCTCTATCTATAAAATCTGAAGCTAGTTCCTCAGCGTCTTGAAGCCTGGGTTTCTGGAGCTAGATATTGGGACTATCATAAGGGACTTTGCAAGGTTGTTACGAGATTCAGTTAGATAAAGCAAGTGATCCTCCCTCCCCGCCCCTGACAGAACCAGAACAGAGCATGCTCTCATTAAAGGATTTTAGCAGTGGTTTTTGGTAGCCCCTAGTCTTAGAAGCCTGCTTGCTCCCCCAGCATGGAACCATCTAGAAACGTCCACATCTTCTGCTTGTGATGCGTGTCTGACAGTGGCCTTGGGTAGCCAGGGAGGAGTTAGGTGGCCAAAGGAGGGACAGCTCAGAACTAGATAGAGCCTTGGGCATTTTATAGAGAGAAACCCAGGACTCTCCTGGCTTTCATGAGGCCACGCGTGGTAGATCCAGAATGTTCCAGCTTGGGTGGTGCCGAGAGTGAAGGCCACAGGCAGTGGGGAAGAGGGGAAGCCCTCCTGGTAACCAGTGTGTTACTGAAGCAGAGGAGGGAGGTGGGACACTTTGAGGGGGGCATCCCCACCTTAATCCCTGTGGGGTGGGAGGCCTTGGAGAACCTGACTGGGAGGGAGGAGTCCTCTGGGAGTGGAAGGGGGTGAGGATGGCTGGGGGAGGGACACTTCGGGAGGACCTCAGCACCTGGGGAAGAGACTTAACTAAGTAGGAATCCGGGCCACCTGGGTGGCTCAGTCATTGGGCGTCTGCTTCTGGCTCGGGTCATGATGCTGGGATCGAGCACTACATCGGGCTCCCTGCCCAGCGGGAAGCCTGCTTCTCCCTCTCCCACTCTCCCGGCTTGTGTTCCCTCTCTCCCTGTCTCTCTCTCTCTGAGATAAATAAATGGATAAAAAAATCTTGAAAAAAACAAACAAACTAGGAATTGGGCCTCATGGCCGGTTCTCCAGCAGAAACCATTTAGAGGAGGGAATTGGGGAAGAGCAGGAAGACAGAAGTCCAAGAGACCAACTTGCAAGCTTGGCAGCCCCCCAGGGCCCAAGCAGCAAGGGCCTGGGTCCGGGTGGTGAGGAAGGGGGAGAGGAGGCAAGGAAGAGAGCGGACCTCCACACCCGCCACACCTGCGGGAGAGGCCGAGTCCTTGCAGCACCGACTTCTCTGAGATCCTGTTCTCCCTTTTCCTCTCTCCTGGCAGGCTGTCTCCTCCAAACAGAGGGTCGCTGGTCTAGACTTCATTCCTGGGCTCCACCCTGTCCTGAGTCTGTCCAGGATGGACCAGACATTGGCCATCTACCAACAGATCCTCACCAGTCTGCATTCCAGAAATGTGATCCAAATATCTAATGACCTGGAGAACCTCCGAGACCTTCTCCGCCTGTTGGCCTCCTCCAAGAGCTGCCCCTTGCCCCGGGCGAGGGGCCTGGAGAGCTTTGAGAGCCTGGGTGGTGTCCTAGAAGCCTCACTCTACTCCACGGAGGTGGTGGCCCTGAGCAGGCTCCAGACGGCCCTCCAGGACATGCTTGGGCGGCTGGACCTCAGCCCTGGGTGCTGAGCCCTCAAAGGCCTGTCTTCCCAAAGTTGAAGAGAGAGCCCTGGGCTCCCAGGTGTCTCCAGAAGAGAGCCCGTATGGGTGTCCCTTCTCTGGACCCCGAGCCATTGCTCTCTCACACCTTTTGTGCCCCTCTTCCAAAGGCATAAGCCTCTGGAGGCATGATACCAAAGACAGAATGCATGATTCCATGCTCACCGGGAAGGGGGACCCAGCCGGCAAACAGTGAACTGGATCTGGGGTTCTCGCCAAAGAGAACCTTCCTTTCTGTGCCACCTTCCCCCTCACTGCATGCTTTAGCATGATCTGGGGTGATTTGGGGAGGTGCCCGCCGAGCCTTTGGACCATCAAACAAGGTTCTGTCTGAGAATTCTGGGAGCACGGTGAAGGCTACATCCACGGAGCTGCCAACTCCCTGGCAATGCATTATTTATTATGCCTTTTATTCTGGAAGGATTGGAAGCAAAACATCAGCTTTTCTAGGCTCTCTGGGGCCAGCCGGAGCTAGGGATGCTGGTTCCAGTCCCACCAATGGGCCTGGCTAAAGCAAATCCATTTCTAGTGACTTGAGGGCTCTCGAGTTAGTTCTTTGGTACCTGGCTTTGTTTCTACCGCGACAGATGTGAAATTACAGTATTTTGCAATGGCATTGCCGTGAGTGGATCTCCAAGGACCAGGTCATTTCAAAAAGAAGATGAATTTTGTCATCTGTGATATATAGATATGTGCACATGTTAGCGGGAGTGTGTTTTCTGAATCACATTTGTGCAATGGGCTCTTGGGATTGGGGGGGTCATTTTCTCATCTCTGCAACCACTTGGTGTGGTTTTCATGAAAAGATGACTCCTTCAGGGGGGTCGTGGGGGGCTTTGCGAGCCACCCGTGGAGGGAGTGGCACTGAAGACTGTCTCTTGGGGCAGTTGTGAGCTCCGGTCTTCTCCCATTACTGGAGGGAGGTCTTTCTTATTGGGGTGACGCTTGCTCTCTGGAGATGGCGATCCCCAGAGCAGGGGTCCTTGGTAGGGGCCTTGGAATGGTCTAGAGATGATCCCACACTGGACTTGTAACACGGCAGGAGCCTTACTTGGGATGTACCTGCTGAATTGTGGCTCTCATCTGACTGGCTCCCCTAAAGCAAGACCGTGTTTCCCACTCCGTCAGGGTGGATTTTGATTTCAGTGGGAAGGTCTGTGGGCCCTCGTGGGCAGTCCCAGGACCTGGGCCAGCGCAACTTGGTGCCAGACCGCCAGGCTGGGCCTCCAGGAGTGCCCTTCCCACTGGAGATAATGTCTGGGGGTGACGAACCAGGAGGCTTGGGTTTTCCACCATCCTGCCGCTGTGATAAGGCCATCACACTCTCGGCGGTGGATCTGTCCAAGGAAATTTGAATCAAAGCTATCAGCTTGGAGACTGAGCACCTCTTTGGCGCTCGGCCCGGATGGGTGCTATGGGCTAGAGAAGCTCACCAAGTAAACGTTAAAGTCCAGTCTTACCCTCAGGGACCTTGCATTCCAGATGGTAAAAAGTTTACACACGGGGATGCAAAGGCTGGTCTTTTCACCATGGCAACAGAGCAGGTGAACCAGCATCCTGTTCAGCAGGCAGGAAACACGGAGCTGAGGATGCCAGTGATCAGGGGTCTCCAGGCCAGCCCTGCTTGCCTGTGGTAGCATTTTTGCTTTGCAGGGCACGCCAGCATTTCCTCCTGCGTAGCCACCTCCCTTTGACACAGCGCAGCTGACAATTTAAAAAATAAGAACGTAACCTAAGACCACAACCTCCGGCAGGAGGCAGGGCTCAGATTAGAGTTCAGGTCCTCTGACTCCCAGAGTGGTCTGGAGCAAGATTATGCTCCCCAGAGGTGCCAACAGCGTTGGACAGGGCGGACCAGGAGTGCTTGGCGTGAGACAGGAGTTGGAGGTGACTTTGCGGGAGGCGAGGGGTGTGAATTGTCTGGAGGGAGGGGGTTGTTTTGTTTGTGCTGAGACCCTGGGTGAAGGTATGTGGTTACAAAGAAAGTCAGACAAAGAAAAGACAAGACAGGAGGGAAAGGGATGTGTTGAAGAGGCTTTCAGGTGCAAAGAAGTTTGATACCGAAAAGCATTAATGTCGGCAGTTCTGGAACAGAGATTCATGAGATGGGCGGAGTCAGACCCCTTCTGGAGGCTAGGACCTAGGTAATCATTACCACCAATCATGACCACCCAGTCAGGCTGGGATTTTTTAAGCCTCTCCCTCTCCAAAACCTGACACCAGGGCTTATTCTCAGAGTGTGGAAGTTCTAAAATGTAAATGATTGTCTTCTTCTGTAACTTAAAAAAAAAAATGTGTTGTTGTTAAAAAAAAAAAATCCAAATAAATTAACTTTGCCGCCTGGTCTTTGTTTTGTCACCCTTTCTGGAGGGGCTTTAGAAGAACTATTTGTGTGTGACAGGGCAAGGCCTGGCTGGCCTCCATCCCTCCCTGGCATCAGCTCTGCCCAGGCTTGGCCACAGCCGGCCACCAGTTATCCAGGCTAAAGGATTCCCCCAAAGCACAGAGCCGGCAAAACGAGCACATTCTGCACCAGAGTCCGTGCGGGTCTGCAAATCAGCCTTGAGAAGCACCAAATAATTTTTCAAACAAAAAAGAACAACAACAACAACAAAAAACCCACAAACCAAGAACAACATGCAGCCCAACAGCAGACCCAGCCAGGGCCGTAGATTCTCGAAAAGACAAGACTTATCTCATTGCAGGCACAGAGCAGAGACAGTCATCTCTGCGGTGCAATTAGAACCTGACAGTTTCAACCCAAATTCTGGAGAGGACTGGGGGCAGGGTGCTGGGGGAGGACAGGGCTGACCCACCAAGCAGTCACTTCTACTGGTGATCTCAAAGGATAGTTGACAGTTGCCAACCGTTTCCTGAGCACTAGTTTGAGTGGTGGAGGAAAGGGGAGCAGAACTCCTGAAGAAGGGGAATCCACAGCAGGCTGGGGTGTGGGTGGGGGGATGTCAGATCTGGCTGGAACAGCCTAAGTGGGCCCCTTGGCAGCTCAGGGAAGTGGCTGGCCTCTGAACCAGTCAAGACTTCTTTAGCTGCAAACGACAGAAATCCAATGCAAACCAACTTAAATAAAAAAGAATTTTTGGCCCACGTTGCTGAGAAGTCTAGGTCATGGTCCGTCCCTTAGAAGACTTTCTCTGCACACATCCCCAAGGACCTAGAAAGATACCCGTGCCATGACCCGCTCCAGTCTCTGCCAGCCTTAGATGGGGAACAGGGCTCGGGGACAATGTGTTTGCCCCTCGGTGGCTGTCTGGGACTGCAGGAGATGTCTTGTTTCGAGCAGGCACCCAGAAGCTCCCCCCTCCCCCACAATCCCCAGGTGGCTCCAGAAGTCAGCCCGCTCTGGGAGGTGACTGCCAGGGTCACAGTGGAAGGTCGTGTTCTCTAAGTTATCCTTCCAGAAACTTTTCCATCCTTGGGCATTCTCTTGCTCTCCCCTGAGGCAGAGCTCACATCTCCCAAACAGCGGGCAGACTCTGGGGGCAGCTTCTAACCATGTTCAACCTCCAAAGGCAGGACTTCTGCAGAGTCTAGGGAGAAAGAAGTCAGGTCAGTCCAGCAGGTTATTTCCAAAGAACCCATCCCAGATTCCTGCACAACAGCACATGACCAAAAAAATTAGACCCCACTTTCCCAAAAAGAACATGGAGTAGTAATTCCAGGCTTTTACCAACAGGATCTGAGTCTGGTGCTGTCTGACAAACACATCCACCTGGGTGAAGCTCACGGGCACACTGACGTCCTCAGCCCTCCGGGGTCCTTACCCCAGGAACACACCCTCTCAGACCTGAAGATGGTAGAGTCAAGGATGTAATATCATAAGGGATCCTCTGTGCCCAGCCCTCATCTCAACCCAGCTCCCAGCAAAGAGGAGGCTGAACCCTTAGGCGAGTTATTTAACCACTCTGAGCCTTGGTTTGTCATCTGTACAATGGGAATATAATAGCCCCCTTCATCACAAGTCTTTAGAAGATTAGATGATAAAATATTTGGAGAGCTATTCACCCAATGGCTGATATACAAAAAAGCAGTCAATAAATGATGTTGTTATTGGTACTGAAGTGTCAGAGAAGCCAAAGGAGTGAGACTTGCTGTACCGGACAGTCCTCCATGAGATAGCCACAGCTGTGGTGTGGACGCCCGGGCACTGGGCTCCCTGCACCGCTCCCCTTGGCTCCTTAGAGAGCCTCTCAACCCACATGGGGCAGAAGGGGAAGGGGAGGGGGAAGTTCCCAGAGGGGCAAATCTCAACCAGTGGAGAATAAAGGTCTGTGGATAAATGCTTTTGCCTCCCATCCTCCACAGGAGCAATTCAAAGGTGCATTTTGTAGGACTGAGCCCTGGGTGCCCACAGGCATCACGTCTGTGGGGGCACTCCTGACTGGTCTCCTCCTTCCCGTTCCCACTCTCCCTGCTCTTCACTCCTGCTTCCTGGGGTCACCTCCCAAATACACCTCCTGCACTTGAACCCTTGTCTCTGGTGCTGCTCATGGAGGAACACAGAGTAAGAAAACTGCAAGACAAGTGGAGATGGGCTTGGATTCGGGGAGAACCGTGAAGCCAGATTCCTGAGAGGGGTAGGCACCACACAGCAAAACTCACAACCGTCCCCAAGAGGCAGGCCTAATAGAAAAGAAGAGAGGCCTCCTGAGGGGAAATCCACTTCAGGAAAGCTTGACACGGGAAAGACAACAGGACAGGACACGGAGTCTACTAAATGAAATAATGACAAGATTAATAAGGAAGGGAGGGACGGAGGAAAGCAGAAGGAGGGAGGGAAGGAAGGGAGGAAAGAAGGCAAGGAGAGAGGGAAGGAGGGAGGAAGGAAGGAGGGAAGGAGGAGTAAATGAAAAGAGAAGAAATACATATAAATTTAATATCGCCTTACTGCCTTGGGTTGCTATTACTGAATAAAGAGGTCTGGGGTGCTTAAAGACAACAGAAATTTATTTCTCACACTTCTGGAGGCTCGAAATCCAAGATCAAGGGGCCAGCAGATCCCCTGTCTCGTGAGCACCTGCTTCCTGGTACATAGACCACATGTCTCACTATGTCCTCACCTGGCAAAAGGGGCAGGTGAGCTGTCTGGGGTCTTTTTTTACAAGGGCACTAATCTCATCGTTGATTATTATGTATATAATTATTACTTAAAAAATACTCATCACTGGGGCGCCTGGATGGCTCAGTGGGTTAAGCCTCTGCCTTCAGCTCAGGTCATGATCTCAGGGTCCTGCGATCGGCCCCGCATCAAGCTCTGCTCAGCAGGGAGCCTGCTTCCTCCTCTTTCTCTCTCTACCTGCCTCTCTGCCTACTTGTGATCTGTCTCTCAAATAAATAAATAAAATCTTTAAAAAAATAAAAAAATAAAAAACACTCATTACCTCCCAAAGGCCCCACCTCTGAATACCTAACCTTGGAGGTTAAGATTTAACATATGAATTTTGGGGTGACACATTCACTCTAGGGAATCACTGTATGATCACCGATTAGAGGAAAGCTCAGGCCAAACCAAGGGAGTCTCGATCACTGACTACTACTTGCCTAAAATGTCTTTTTACAATAAAGGGATCTCTATTAGCATTTCTTCCTTCCACTGAACTCCCAGGGCCCCTGGTCACTGAGCGCCCTACCCTTCCCTGCCTGGCTGGGAGACTGTGCAGGCGGGATGGCCCCGCCCCCGCCTCGCCCCCGCGCCTGGCTGCTGTGTCCTGCCCAGCGCAGCCCTCGCTCTCGCACCGTGACACGGTGACGGAAGGAAGGGAGACTCCTGTATTATTAGCAAGCACATTTTATCAGGTCAGCTAATTCAGTCAAAAGCCTGAACACCGTCCAGACCATTAAAGGTTAAACTTCTTAAAAATTCTGGTCACTCTTAACTTGCTCAGCAAACCTCTTCCTTTTTAGTTCAAAGATAGAAGCCCAAACCAACTGTAAAAGACAGCGTTGAGACAGTGATGGAAATTTGAGTATGGATTCTGTGTTAGATGATGAAAGGAATTGTTACTAATTGTGTTAGCTGGGGTGATGGCATGGTCATTATTTTAATTTTTTTTAATTTTTAAAAAAGATTTTATTTATGGGGCACCTGGGTGACTCAGTTGTTAAAGTGGCTGCCTTCAGCTCAGGTCATGATCTCAGGGTCCCGGGATTGAGCTCAGCCCCAGAATCAGGCTCTCTGCTCAGCGGGGAGCCTGCGACTCCCTATCCTTCTGCCTGTCGCTCCCTCTGCTTGTGCTCTCTTTGTCAAACAGACCAAAAAAAAAAAAAAAAGTCTTTAAAAAAAAAAAAGAATTTTAAAAAAGATTTTGTTTATTTGACACAGAGAGAGCACAAGTTGGGGGAGGGGCAGAGGGAGAGGGTGAGAGCAGACTCCGCACTGAGCCGGGAGCCCCAGGGCTTGATCCCAGGATCCGGAGATCATGACCTGAGCCAAAGTCGGACACTTAACAGACTGAGCCACTCAGGCACCCCTGATTTGTTTTGTTTTGTTTTGTTTTAATTTTTAAAGATTTTGTCTTTAAGTAGCCTCTCCACCCAATGTGGGGCTCAAACCCACAACACTGAGATCAAGAGTCACATGCTCTACCAACTGAGCCAGCCAGGTGCCTCTATTTTTAAATGCTTCCTTATTAGAAATTCAAACTGAACTCATTTAGGATGAAATGCAATGAAGTCTGGGATTTACCTTAAAATATTTCAGGAAAAAAAAAATATGTAAGAGGGTAGATAAACAAGCTCAGTAAAATGTTGGTAATTGGGCATCTGGGTGGCACAGTCGGTTAAGTGTCTGCTCTCAGCTCAGGTCATGATCACAGGGTCCTGGAATGGAGCCCAAGGTTGGACTCCCTGCTCAGCGGGGAGTCTGCTTTTCCCTCTCCCTCTGCCCCTAACCCCACTCTTGCTCTCTCTCTCTCTCTTTCTCAAATAAATAAATAAAATCTTAAAAAATAAAATAAAATGTTGGTAATTGTTAAAATTGGGTGACAGGGACACAAGAGTTTATTACAACAAGCCCTCTACTTTGGAGCTGAATTTCCAGAAGAAACATGTTGGGGTAAAGTGCAGTTTACCCCAGCCCCTCGGCCACCTGGGTGTTGTGTGTTCAGGGTAGGGGAGGAGGGGGCGGTGCAGGGAAGAGAAAGAAGGAGAACAGGATGTGGGACTGAATTGTGTTTAACTTCACATTTGCTCTTACTGCCTGGCAGATGTCCCGGGGCAGGGAGGAGGGCAGGGGGCGACAGCCTGTCATAGTG